TTCTGAACAGTTCATAATTGACTTACCCTTCTCTTTGTTATCTGCTCCTGAAGTTTTGCTTGAGTCTTCCTTAATGGCCTTTATATTGACTTTGGACTTAGAATACCTGTTATCTCCCCTGCCCGTTTGCTTATCAAATCTATCCCTTTTGGCCCTTCTTGAGTCATTCGCATAATCTGACCTTCTCTTCAGTGACCCAATTGCACGCCCAGGTCCACGAAAAACTTTACCCCGCGAACTGTTATTTTTAGCATCTAATTTTGACTTGTATGCCTCACCTGATTTTGGACACTCGATGCTGGTATGACCATATTCCTTGCATCGATAGCAAAGTTTTCCCTTTCCTTTGCCTGGACACAATCGACCAACATGACCAAGCTTCCACACTCGAAACATCTCACACCTTGAGCTGCAAAGTTTGCAGTTCTCAACTCACCGATGTCTGGTTCATCTTGTTTCCTGATTGCTTCTTCCTGTTTCATAACAGTCTTCAATTGATCATGTCAAGGGTGGCTTATGTTCTATTTTAGCTGAGGACTATAACAACTGTACCATTGGCACAGACTTAATAATGGCATTATTGAACGCGTCTCTTTTCTCATTTTCTGACAACGGGGTGGCATCAGGTGAATTTTCGTAATTACGAATAGCTTTTCAAAATTTATCGGAAAACTCACCAGCCGTACATTTAGTGATATCATATCTTATGCTTGTAATTTCCAGCCTTACAGAGGCTGAGGAAATGTTGTTCTCATATTTCTTGATTTCTTTGAGTTTGTTTAATATTTCAACAGCATCTTGCATTGATACTACTTTAGAATAATAATCTTCATTCATGTGATTAATTAATATATCTCTCACTTCGAATTTATGCTCATCCAAAGTCTTTTGATCTCCTCTAAATTTTACACTACTATCTATAACATGTAATAGCTTGCGAGATCTTACTTCTGATTTGAAATGATCAAAGAAATCTTCATATCGAGTATTACTATCAAATTTATAATCTCGTTTCACTGATGGCCCCCTGTCTAATAGATTGAGTTTAATAGTTTCAGCAACCACATCAGCATTGCTGTCTCTGGTGCTTCCACCATTTTGATTCAGTCCTTGTGGTTCTAGATTTACTGAATGTCTTTTAACAATGTTCTGAATTTTCTGATTTAACTCCCCATCCTCTTCATTCTCGACGCCATTATTTGATAAATCTGACCCATTTCTTACCTCCTTACTCTGATCTTCATAGTCAGTCCACGTCAACATTTTCTCCAGATTTTGTTCGATGCTGGAAAGTCTGTCATCCCAATCATTTTTCACTTCTTTGATGCTATCCAGCAACCAGCGACTCGTGTTGCTTTAAATATTTACGACTTTAACGAGTGCGCTGATCTCCGAGTCCAGTTTAGTACAGGCTATTTCTAGCCTGTCCTGCACCGGAATTTCAGCTCGCGATTTATTTGGGTGATTCCTCGTTTANGAAAGTCTGTCATCCCAATCATTTTTCACTTCTTTGATGCTATCCAGCAACCAGCGACTCGTGTTGCTTTAAATATTTACGACTTTAACGAGTGCGCTGATCACCGAGTCCAGTTTAGTACAGGCTATTTCTAGCCTGTCCTGCACCGGAATTTCAGCTCGCGATTTATTTGGGTGATTCTTCGTTGGATTCTTTGTGTGAATTGGTGCTGAGTACTTTATGAGAACTTTTGGTTCTACATATGCTGTACTTTTAATTTGGGGTTTATTGTTACCTGTTTTGAGAGCATCAACTACTACTGACTCATCACTGTCTCGTCCGGCCGGCACACCTGATCTTTTCTCCACGCCCTCGTCATTCTCGCCAACCTCATCACCCTTACCATACTCTTCAATTTTCTCACCCCCGTCCAGCTCTCCATATCATCACTTTTCTCACTGACCTTAGTAGTAATTGGTGGATGTTCCTCATAAACTTCAGGCATGATGGGAGGTGTGTTGGTTAGAAGCTTATCTTCATGCCATTTTGTCAGTGCTATCGACTGATTCTCTGATATCATGTTTTTACCTGTTAAAATTAACTTAGTTTACGATTAATTAATTATAATTTTATGAAAATTATATGATTTGCTCCGCTGCTAACAAGATGAACACAATCATTGTCAGCATTAGAGCTTTGAACACAAATTAGAAATGTACACAAAGACCAATTTATGCCCAAAAGGTCGGTCAGTTTCAAACGTCGTACGGTCAAATGTGCTACCGCCAATCAACCGTACGGAACATCCTAATTTCAGATTTGATTCTGAAAACTATACATGTATATATATATTTTATAACTAGTATTTTTATTTTTATTCGAATTTTTGGTGCTGGATGAAATTGCGAAGATATTTGCAAGCCAATATCCTCACAAGCACACAATCGCATGCATTTCTCATCTCTTTCTCGTTCTGACCTCTTGTCAACTCACATCAACTTACGTGAACTTGTAACACTTGATCTTGTGAGTTTTCATTAATAGAGTTTCCTCTATCACCTCGAGAATAACATTCTCTCCTCTGTGAAACTCATCGAATCCGAAGAAAGTAGTCAAATTCCTCCACAATTCCCACAAGTCGTCACCTGTGGTAATTTTAATCAACTTAATGATTACGATTCAATTTCACACTGAGGTGTAGGTTAATTCATATTTTCTTTTCCTCGTCGAGTTTGGTTGGAACACGTGCTCTCATGCATGAGCACTATTTTATGTATTTCTACGCATCGCCATTCCAGTGGACTCTACTTTATGTATTACTACGCGCCGCCGTTCCAGCAACGCACCCCACGCCAACCGACCCCCCTTACCGCTCGTCCCCCGTCAAATTCCTTATCTTTATTTTTAATGTTTTTCAGCTAACCAACTCTCCTGGCTCATCCCCATATACATGAAAAACTTGATTCACGTAATTGTTTTAATTTAATTTTTCCCAACTTTTTAATTGACTTTTATTTAGGCTTCTAACGAAAATTGTTTTAGACGCGTTGGTTACTCATGGTTGTCGGCTATTTTTGTGTCCGGTTTACTCGCTGTTCCCGCTAAGCTCTCGGCATGATGCAATTTCCATTGCCGTCCTGGAGATGCGTGTTTTTCCGATTTTTATGTAAATCACTTTACTTACTCATCATCGTTCCTTGTTTTTCTATTTTTTCTCGGCTCTCTGGCCTCAACTCACTCCGCTCAAGTCCACGTGGTAATACTGGCTTCCACTTGAGTTTTTCCTTTTCACTTATACACAGTTTATTCACAGTTTATTTTATTGCGCACTTGAAGCGTGACCGGGAGCCCATAACCTGATGGATTATGCGGGATCGGGACACAATAACTCAATAAACTGTATTCGTTAATAGAAGGTTTATTATAAAGGCACGTCTCTCTCCTCGCGTCTAGCGTCCAACACGTCTCGTACAGGAATGTACAGCATAGACGCCACAACCGGCCTGGGACGAGATCGTGCGTATGCGCAGATCTCGTCCCCTTCTTAGCTTACACAGATCCATCTTATACTATAGATAATACATATATATATATGTATATATATATATATATATATATATATATATATATATATATATATATATATATATATATA